AAAATTCTCCATATTTTCCTGAGTTTTTTTTTTGCTTAAAATATGTGTTTAAGTAACTTTTTAGTGCCTGTTCCTGTTTCTTTCTTCCTTCTTAATGTGTTTGATAGCTTATTAAAAACCTGCTTGTGAACAGAAAAATTTTCTTAAAAACCTATGTTTTATAATGTAAGAATAACTGATTTAGCCAATTTAAATTCTTTGGTGATCAGGAAAAAGGGTAAAAATTAGTTCAATAAAATTTTAAAAAGCACTCACAATTGATTAAAGTTTTCTATAATATGTTTTTTCAACTTTTCAATAGAAGAAATTACAGAAACTTCAGAGGTCAAAGATAAAAATAACTATAAAATATCCAGTGTATTGCAAACAATAAACATTGACTGGATGAACCAAAGTAATAGTAATTACAAAAAAGGGGTTGCTAGTCGCAGAGGAAAAAAACAGTAACAACAAAAAAATTTATGATTATTTTTCAAATATGCAAAAGTTATATTATTTTCATCTTTTATCAATACCTGATAAAGCTGAATGGCTAGGTTTTAGCTGTAGTTCTATTTTTAGGTTGTGATGAAAGAGAAACATTACAATTGATTATAATTATAATTGGCTGCCTGACTTTCCTGAGAAAATATAAATTTTGAGGGAGAAAACTCAGATTTACTGACTGTCCACTGTGTTCCGGCCACTTTGCTAAGCATTGATTTATTTAGAACTCTCAGAAACCTACAAAAAGGGTATTATTTCCTTGATTATTCGTATAAGAAAACTGTTGTTCTGTGGGTGAAGTTGAGCATTAACTCTAAGACCCTGCAGCTAGAGCAAGGTGGCATCGAATGCCAACTCCTGTCTGTTCAACTCCAAAGACCATGTGTTCTCTGCTTCGCGACGCTCCCTCTAGGTCCTAGACAGATATTAATATTTTTCCTGTCGGCTGCTTACCACATAGACTACGCATAGCATAAAAGAGGCAAATTGCATGAAATAACACAAGGAAATGGCTCATACAAATAATCTACATGATGATATTTAAATCCGGACTTTGGGACCTCTTACAAGTATATTTTCCCTTAGCTGATTTTAACTGAGTTATAAGGAAAAGTTAGAAAGAGCTAATTCATAATTATCTCTTTGCTCTTTTATTTCCAAGCTTTGAGTATATTTTTCTACCACATTGTACTGACTAAATAATGAACACTCTGTATGAAGGGCCTTGCTTGGCAGTTGCAGGTCAGGCTTAAAGGCATGTAATTTAACTCATTTAGGTATTAGATTTTAATTAA